GGTTTTCGCTTCACTGCAGTGCACCAGTGCACGGTGGGAAGCGCACTCAATAAAGCTACCGAACCCACAAACCCACCAGAACAGACCACGACCAGAGAATATTGCATGCCACGCAAATACGGTTCATAGTTGATACGGAAATCAAATCGAGTAGTAGGTTACTTTGAAAGTTCTGAAAATTCGGACAAACCTACCATAACGATCCCTCTGCCCAGCTAGTCTTCAGCTGTTACATTTTCAGTATTAATAAAGTGAAATTACGTTTAGGCACAACGTTGGCGCAAATTCATCACATTTTGTCAAAATGTAGCAGGATGTAATGTAGCAGGGTAAGCACTTTGGTACAGTTTGGCACAAATTGCACAGCAATCACATCACTGCACTTCCTGAAATGTTAAGAAAATGCCAACGCATTGATCGTTTAGATTTGAAAGAAAGGAGAAAGCCGAGGTGAAACTCATTACAATGCCATTAAAAAGATCTTAGAAATAAAGAAAGCTGTCTTGGACTAACAAAGCCCCCAAGAAGATACGGAGAAGAATCCTAGGGATTTCATCAGCATAGTGGGACAGCTGCCAACAGGCAATAAAACGACGGCAGTCCGGTCACAGGGGACGGTACAATTTTCTTTCCTTTTTCTTTTTAGCTCTTGAAGAAAAAAAAAAAAGAAAATGCCCTCTGGCTACCAAAGATAAGCTGTCTTTTATATTTGTGTAAGCTTTCGAAGGTTCATCACATGACTGCGATATAACGGAGTGTTTCGTGCAAATTAGGGTAAATGAATCAAATGCACCAACACTTTCCCAGGGAAGATTTGAATCAAAGAGATGAGGCCCGCCCTGGGATCTCACTGGGCTGGGTCCAGTCCGGTCCGGACCGGGCCTGATCAGGTGGGAATCCCATTGGGCCGGGCCGGGCTTCACAAAGTAGGCCCGTGCTGTGCTCTAATGTACAGTGCCCCTCAAACTTAACGCCGCCACTAGATTGTCCGGTTTATTCACTTGTTGAGCTATTCCTGAACCTAGTGGTCAAACTACTTGGTGAACATTCGCGTCCCCGATGAGAACCCAACCAGGGGAAGGTATTCGAGCAGCTGCAGCGACCAATTTATCTTTGGGTAGCATGGAATAGATCAATATTTGCGTAACCGGGGTGTAACCGAGTGGCGGCGTTAAGTTTGAGGGGCACTGTACATTTGATCTCTCAAATATTGCAAGACCTTCGCTCTAGTTAAAGGAGACACGACCCAGAAAAACAAAATCTCATAAAAAAAAAGTTCATTTTGAAAAATGCCCTATTTACATCTGCCAACATGTAGAGAGTATTCCCAGAAAGTTTCATTTGTTTACAGCGCATAGTTATTTTTAGGGGCGAAGCTTCTTAGGGTCTAGCCTTGTCCAGCCGGCCGGCGTCCGTGCTCCCATAAGAAGAAAAAATGTCTGCGCAGTGGACAGGATTCGAACCTGTGCGGAGAGACCCCAATGGATTTCTAGTCCATCGCCTTAACCACTCGGCCACGACTGCGGAACGAGTAGGGGGCTCTGAGATGTGGTAGTAACTCAAGAGCTGGGGTTTCTGTCATGGATAAAACGCTGCATGTAGCCGCTCAACATCTATGCAGGAGAGGGCGCTGCGGTCAAAAGCGTATATAATCGCGTTAAACTTTGCATGCATTGGCTCAACGTTTATAGACGAGAGGGTGCTGCGGTCAAATGCTCAAATGCGTAAATAATCACGTTCCATACCACACATTCTCTTTCTGATATGGACCGTTGACTTAAGCGGTGGAGATGCGTTCCCACGGCTTCTAGCGGATCTAAGTTGATCCGCTAGAAGAACCACTGGCTCTGCATTTCACCAACCATAAAGCAGTAATAATGAAGTCGAAATGCAACCTGGAACTCAACACTACCTATGAGCAATAAAAAAAAAATCAGTACCATCAGCATTACCTATGAACAATAAAATCAGTTTCATCACCACCACCAGAGCTTTGCCCCAATCAACATCATTCACCACGTGAAGATGCGGTCATTTTTTATAAATTATTTTCAATCCACCAATACTAAAGAAAAGGTAGAGGTTCGAGCACTTTGAATGTGTTTTTTTCCAATCCACTTCATGGCATAAATCTCACCTTAAAAGGATACTGAACCAAGGAATTTAGTGTCCATAATAAGTGGCGCACGTTCTTTCCACGAGCTAGCAGCCGCCGGTGTGCGCGAGCACACGCAACAAAAATGACGTCACAGACCTCCATTCGTGGTTGAGATGACAGTGAAATGTATGGGCTTCGGACCAAAGGAGAATAAAGACAAGTTTTTCATCTGCACAGTGGTGCCTGGTGTAAAAGTAAGCGATGAATTGGTCTAACAAGCACGTAGCTTTCACTTGTAGAGATGAAAAGCCTGTCTTTATTCTCCTTTAGTCCGAAGCCCATGCATTTTACTGTCATCTCAACCGCGAATGGAGGTCTGTGACGTCATTTTTGTTGCGTGTGCTCGCGCACACCGCGGCTGCTGGCTGGTGGAAAGAACGTGCGCCACTTATTATGGGCACTAAATTCTTTGGTTCAGTATCCCTTTAATAAAACTGTTGTTTCAGTATGAAGCTATTGAGAGATTTAATATTTGTGGCTTATATGCCGAAATTTTATAAAGTCAGTTACTTTTAACTTAGATTTTGCATTTTCATGTTTCTTTATTATGAAAAACTGTAATTTGCAAAACTAAAAAAAAACTGTAATTTGCAAAATATAAAAATATGCAGACATTTTTTTTCTGGAAAATGCATATTTTCTTAAATTTCTTTTTATAGCCCCCCCCCCCCTCCCCCAAAGCATGCTGGAATACTGAAGTGTGCCTTAAAATGGTGGAAAGCCACATAATTAAAAGACCCTGGATCTACACGTTGTGCTCAACTATCTGGAAGTCTGGAAGGCAACAGGTATTCCAGTATGCATTCCACTAGAAAAATATGTGGTTATCAACAGGGTTGGGCAGAAATACTCAAAAATGTATTTGGAAATACAAATACTGGGATACATTAAAATAGTGGCTAAAATACTGATACTGAAATATATCTATAAAAGTGTATTGCGATACGTATCGGAAATACATTTTAAATAGAGGAAAAAAACATTTGGAAATACTAATACAGGAATACATTTTAAGAAGGGCAGAAGTACAAATACAGAAATACTGATACTGTAGTACATTTTTTAAAATTTGTTTCAGATGCCAAATGAGATGAAGCTTGAAGTTGGAAATGGAAGTTTTTGATCCCGAAATTACTTTCCCGTAGGCTTGGCACTTTGCCTTGAAGGTAGTGATTTCGGACGACAACAAGTCAGTCTCAATAGGCTCAAAAAAACGTTCCATCAAGGACCGACTACGGTCCCTTCCCTGACATCCTGTCTGTCTGACGAGGGATGCGAAAAAACTTTGACCTCTAAATAAATCCTATGTCATTCTAAATCCCATCCAAACGTCACCTCGCCCCTGTCCAATAAAAACGCCCCTATAAAGAATGATCACATGACGTCACGGTGGAATGAACAGGGATTATTTATCTGTAGGTGTGGCCTTGAACATAAAACTTTACCACGCAGCTGTATGAAACGACAATACATACTTTCATTGTAGGTTACCTCGTTGAAGATCGTGAAGGCAGTGACCATTTGGAATTTTCGAGAATAGTGGACCACCTGAACATCCTGGAACACATGTCCTATCTTTTGTTACGGTTGAAAAAAACGATATGGTGGCAGCCCTGTTGTGAAGGTTTTTCCTGCCGACGCTCCGCCACCAACGCATGAATTGCAGTCTTCAAGTTTCGCCTTGCATAATCCAAACAGAGACATCGTGGATTGCGACCTGATATTGCCCCGTACAGGTGCGAGCTTTCCGAGAAACAGCGCGTTCGAGACGAGTTGCAGGTGTATGAAGTCTGGGTGGACACAGCGAGGCCACGTCTGGCCTACTTCCTGGGTTTCGGATCACCAGAGCAGCGGGTCACGTTCACGTCGGCTGATGACGTACCCTTGAGCCGTGCGACATTACGGGCGCAGCTGCAGACACATTCGAATGTGTGTTGAACTTCACTGCGTGAGTCATCCTACTATTTCAAGTCAACCACCACCAGGCTCGTGCTGCAATGGACTGTGAATCAGCTTTGCCAGCTGGGTGTACGGTGTATGTTAATTCAAGAGAGACGGTTAGCAGCGGGCATTGGATGCCAGCAAACAATGAGTCAAGAAACCCCTACCTAAGGACCTGAGGCACAAGACACTCTCACTCCACTCCTGGCACGCCAACTGGTTAGAGTCCCCGACTACGCAGCACTTCTCAGAAGAAAAAAGCGGACGCATAGAAAAATAGTATGGAGAATTGGAAGGAATCTTGGTCAACAATGCCCCAGCATCTCCTTGACCCTAGTGCCCTCCAAAAAAAAAAAAAAAAATGCATTCGGATTTTTTTTTTGAGGGGGAGGGGGGGGGGGGAGAGGAGTATTTCTCGAGAAATGTAACGAAATACATTTCACCCTCATTGTACCGCGATACAAAGGGACATTCAAAATGTATTACGATACAGGAATACAGATACTGGTGAAAAAAATGTATCCCGATACAGAAATACAGATATGAAATGTATTTCTGAAATACTATCGCTTTGCCCAACCCTGGTTATCAACACCATTTCTCAACGATAGAATCATTCAGCAGATTCCATGTTAGGGGGTTATAGTACCTCAAAATTGGTTCACACGGCTGAAACTTTGCATGCCCTCCTTCTATATAGCTACAAACACCACCTGCAAATATCACGCCCATTGAGCAAGTGGTTCAAAAGTTGACATTCTTAGGTAATGTCCCCCCTTAATGCAGTTCAAGGGACATCTCGTAGATGGCGCCAGCACGCCAGTTTTCTTTCGCCGTAGGAGATCGCAAGAATGCAAGTGCGTGAATGGGTCTTCAGATAGGAGTGAAAAAGGGCCCTCACCTTCGTCCACCCTCCTGAGAAGCACCATCGGGATCGGGTGTGCCATTTTACTCTCCCGGCTGTTCACGGACACCCAGATGCTCCAGTCCTTGGTCTTGTCTGTGCACTTGGGTGTCCAGTTGCCCTGCTCCAGCTTGTAGGGCGGGGCGTCGCAGGTGTCGCTGCTGCGCTGCTGCAGGGCGCTGTTCCGAGCGGCGGCGGTCCGCCAGTGCACCCTCGGACGTCCCCACAGGCTGCGCCGCAACTTGGATGCACCGGACTGGGTCTTCCTCGGCATGTAGTCCTCATCATATTCTTGGGAACGCAGGTCGTAAAGAGAAAGCGAGAGGCCGACGAGAAATGACAACGAATTAAGTCTGTAATCAGCAACTGGACAGGATGAATAACAGGGAAGGGACAGGAATGCCTTTGTTCTAATTTCATTCTGCCATTTGTGAAAAAAAAAAATGGTTCCTATGCCGGAGAGAAAAGGAATGATCTTTGCCTGAACAGCGTCTTAAGAAACAAAGAGGCAAGATATAATTCTTGTCATTCAAGACGACGCTACTGTAAAATACCCAGCATGCGCCCGCGTAACATTAAGCCCCCACCTCCTACTTTTGAAACACTTCCAAGAAACCAGAGGACATACCGTATTTACTCGCATAATGAACACACTTTTTGTCACGACAAATTGACACATATTTGGGGGGAGGCGGGGGGGGGGGGGGGCATTCATTACACGGGGTAAAATTTTTGCATTGCACACTTCGTGCAAATGTCATATTAGGTGCCAATATGACATGGTAGGTACTGTGGCACGTCTCCACTGATGGAGGCGCACCCAGGGCTGGTCGGAGGCGCGCCACAGTAACCATGCTCTATACAAATTGCAAACCTTTTTAGGGCACTTTTGTAGTGCAAAAGCGCCCTCCGAGACTCACTCAGCACGGAAAGCAGTGCGACCCGTTCTTAGGTGATAGATATTGACAATATTTGGCCACGCGCTCAGGTATATACCGCGACTATGCGCATAGGAACTCCTACGAAGTCCGACCGCCGACGCCTGAGGCCGGCTTGCACGGATCAAGTTCTGTTCACAGAGACGGCTGTTACCAGGAGCTACCAGACCCTCTCAACCTATCACGCAGCGTGTACCTCACTGCACCATTTTATTATGGATTCAATAAACGCATTTACGTATCTGAAATTAGGCCTAACCACTTTTCACTGTCCGAAAGCGGACCACAGACGACGGCGTGTTCGCTGACATCAATGCATCCGATAGGTGAAGAACGTCCGGTGCTGGGCAATTCCTTGAGCCAAGCTTTGCCAAGTGTGCGCGCCGCTCGGTTTCACAGTTGATCGCTACCACAACTACGCACTTGCAGTCATTACGAGAGCGGCATGGCTTGGTTTGGCTTGGCTTGGCCTGACCGCTTGGCGGCAAAAGAAAATTGGCTTGGTGGCTGGCTAAATTGGATGCAAATTCGAGACTTGCGGAACCAAAAATTAAAAATGTATTCATTACGCTATGAGAAAAAAAGAAGTCTGAATACTTTTTTTGTTTTGGGGGGGGGGGGGGGGGGAGTTTATTATGAGAGTAAATACAGTATTAAATGCTCACACCCCTACTTCAAACAAGTTTGAAGATATGCAAGCCACACATCAAGCACCGTCGTCGTGGGCGGCTGTTATCTGACCAACCGGCGGACTGCTTGGGCATAGCACGGGTCACAGGTGAAACAGCGAAGCAGGAGAAAGGGGGCAAGGGGGTGCAGAGTCGAAAGGAGGTAGGAACTGGTAGTGATAGATGAGTTGCTCTTTTGTTACAACTCGAAACAGTCATTCGAAGGATTTAATGACAAAGACCAAATAGTGCGTAATTAGCCACATTTTCTCAATAAGCTATTTACTCATACAATGAATGCCACAGTCATCAATATTGATTTCTTTTCTCACGCAGCCTCCAACTGACCTGCCGAGCAGCCAGGCCAATCCAGGCCAGGCCAGGCCAAGTCAGGCCAAATCAAGCGTGGCAGCACGCGAGCAATTGTGGAAGCAACCAACAGTGTAGTCGCGTGGTGCGCACGGAAACCCAAAACTAGGTTTGATCTCCCAAAATATTCTTTCTGTCAGATATGTTATTGTCAATGAACACAATGTTCATTGACATTAACATATCTGCGGAATGTTTTTGGACAGTGAAACCGTGAAAGTTGTTAGGCCTAGGAGTGGTCGTGTCGCTTTGTGCCGAGTGTTGCCGACGCAAAAACTGAGCCGGGCATCGTAGGGCACTTTGTCTTTAACGGAAATAATGCTGACGCACTGTTTTTACGCATTGGTGAGCTCGACTAGCTTAGCAAGTGATGGCCACTCCGAATTCCTTTGCTGGATCAAGCAAGGACACACACGATCGTGAGCACCTTACACATTTTCGCCCTTGGACCTAGAAAGCCCATACCATGATGGCCATTCCACGATTATTTCCCAATTTTTGGTGGGCGCTTGCTCGGTATTTTACGGTAAGCTGACCCAATGAGTAGTACTAAAAATAATGCTTTCATGTCGTCTTGACGTAAACTCTTAATTGTACTTAAAGGAGCTGTGCAATGATTTTAACGTTGAAAGAATTTGCATCTTCTACTTTTGACATTGTTCATCGTGTCACAAAGGACAGAAAACACACCCCCTTCCTTCAAAATGTTGCGATTCCGCCGCATAATCGCGAGGCAAAAGTTAGATTATTTTCTGACCTGCAGCCGCAAGGGGCAGCCATGAGAACCATGCGGCATGACGTCACTGGGGGTCTTGTAGAAAGATAGCAAGTTGGGCGAATACCTGCTCGATAAAAGGTAACTTTTCTATAAATCTTGTCATTCCAACATAAATATAACTGCGTCAGAAACCTGGTATCATCGACAAAAATTTTATTATAGGTAGTTTTAGTAGCGCCACCTATCCTAGGTCCACAAAACCGTCAGCTCTATCTGCTACCGCAAACAGCCGTCGGACGCCGGAGGGGGACGGGGGCAGAGCCGGACGGGGATGGCCGGACCCCGATGAGACTTTCCTCCTTTCACCATGTTGTTTGTGCTGCGCCAGCATGTGGTCACACGGTTGCGAGTGGATCAGTTCTCACTGCTCACTGATGGCTCTAGAGAAAGAGCTTCACTGGAACCCCGCGCTACACCCATTGACGTCACAGCACACGTGACTCGGAAGATGGTGAAGGAGTTGAGAGGTGCCGAAAACCTCAATCTTTGTCCATTTTTAAAATAAAGACTAGGACATGCAGGGAAAAGCAATTTTTTGTTCTTTACTTCAGAAAGGTCGAGACACCAACTCCCAGATTATTTAAGCAAAGCACTGAAATTGTTGCACAGCTCCTTTAAATTCACTGCGCTTTTTTGCCCCCCAAAATTGCTTCCATTTTCTGTGTTCAAAGCTCACTTTCCAGTGTGCTCTACAGGCCTGAACTCATACTTATTGTCTAACCCAAGGGTGTGAGTGAGCTGGTACAAGTCAAACAGACTAAAAAGAAGGTAACAACTCGACCAAATGAGGAATGTACATAGGAGGATGACTGGGTAAGTACCAAAGGTCCTTTTAAGATCAAAATCAAGATCAAAGGTTACAAAAATCTAAAACATTCCCAACTTAACCTCAAATTGTTCACATCTCTAGTTGCAGCGTGCGATGTGGCAAAACAGAGAAATTCTTTTTGTAATTACTAGCTCTACACCTGGTTCCCAGTAGGACCCCACAAATCCAATCAATCAACTAGTTACGGTATTTTGCAACTTGGAAACTGTCAGATGAAAGTAAGGCAGCTCTGAATCTGATTACCGCAAAATATGAAGCGTGCGACCGTGTCACATTAGGCACCCACCCTTTACGTAAACATTTCAGAAATCATTAAAGAACGCAATAAGCACCCACTCCCCTATTTCAAGATAGTTCAAAAATATAGAAAAGACACATCGAGTGCCCAGCTGCCGTGATCGGCCCTTATATCCACAATTGGCGGACAGCACTGGCAAAGCACAGGTGACGTGGCTTTAGTGACTAAGACTAGATGGTGCATAATCTCTTTTTTTTTTTTTCTCAATAATTTATTTACAGTATTTACTTGCATAATGAACGCACCCCCCACAAAGGGCATCAATAATTTGACTTTTGTGCATAAATGCAAAAAGTTTACCCGCGTAATGAACACCTCCCCTTTAAGATATGTGTCAATTTAAAAAAAAAAAAAAGTGTTCATTATGCGAGTAAATACAGCACTCGCATAACAAATGCAGCCCCCAAGTCAGTTAAGTCACCAGCGACCAGGCCAAGCCACGACAAACTAAGCTTGTCAGCACACATGTGTCAGTTATGGCTGCAAGTGGTAAGGTGCGTAAGCGATCAACAACATAATCGCGAGGCAAGAGTGGCCAACATATTTCGTCCATCGGATGTATTGATGTCAACGAACATGCCGTGACCTGTGGTCTGTTTTTGGATGGTCAGATCATGCAAGTGGTTAGGCCTAAGGACAGTCGCCATGCCATTTTTCAATTTTTCATGCCGAGTGCCACAGACGTGAAAACTGCGTAGAGTGCCATAAAGTGATTTTTTATTGGCGAAAAGGATGCAGAAGTTCTGCTTTCATGCGTTGGCGCTCTCGGCTAGCATGGCAAACGACGGCCATTACAAGTTCAGTGGTCGGACCAAGCAAAGGCCCACCCGACCGTGTGCTCCTTCTGAATTATCACTCATAGACCTAGCAAGTGCCCATCCCCCAGCTTTCCATGATTATCTCCCAATCTTAAGAGGGTGCTTGCCCAGTATATTACGGTAAGTAAGATCAGGCAACTACCGTGAGATACTGTGCAAGCACTCACTTCGTTCAGCGCCCATTACTAACGTGTTCCAAGCTTGGGAACTCCGCGGACTATACATAAAGCGCCCCATTTGACTGTATAATTGCCCCTGTCTAGATTAATCCCGTTTTCAGTGAAGGTGGAATGAGCACTCCCCCGGTGTGTTTTTGGTAGTAGACAAGATTATCAAAATTTGTATGAAACTGCTAAGGCATACCATATTTTGAGCAAGTCTTCTTCGGTTTCAGGTGCCACAGCAGTCCAGAACTAGATCCCTTCCTTGAGAAATCTGAAAAAAGAAAGGATCACAAGCTCAAAATGTACACTGAAGGCCGTCAGCTACCCAAGCCACTCACACCAGTTTTCTTAAACATGGGTTATGCAACACATGTGTGGATAGGTCCTTGCCAGTAAGAAAGCTAGAAATGAATGAAGGGGTGAGAAGACAGCTGGCTTCACAAGAAGGTTCCACATACCTCAGGCACAACTGCAGTTTACAATTGAATATGAGAGAACCCTCTTTCCTACAACTTTACTGTGAAACCTTTGATGAGAAAAATTCTTCTTTGCATAATTCAAAAAGCTATGTTTTTTTAGCTTTCAAGCAGGTTGAAGCTGCTGCTTTTGTTTATGACTACAAGTCTATCTTAATTTATGAATGAAAACTTTTATCCATTAATAAGTTAAATAAATTTAATAATATACAAAAGCCAGGAAAACTAAAGGACTGAAATAAAAAAGTACTTCACAGTATGAAAATTCTTTAATGATGTGTGGTGTGATTTTCCCCTTCAAGTTCAAAAACTTGCTCATAAAACGAGACAAAAAACAGGTATCTATGCCACCCCTGCTTGATGCTCCAATTAAACAGTTCACCTTTTTTAGTAAATATGCTGACATAACTAAACTACTTTGGATGGTCAAATTAGGTTGACAACCAATGGATGAGGACTCACCATCAGCCTCATAGAGTGACATGGTCACGGGCCTTTGCCGGCTTTCTCTGCTTCGAAGGTTTCTGTAGACCTCACATGCATAGGTGAGCTTGCCTTCTTTCAAATGCCCTTTTTTGAAAAGGTAGCGGTACATCGCCTGGACCCTGTGCAGCGGTACATGATGGTTCTTCAGGTATTCGGTCATCACCTTATCCTTGAGCACTGCCAAGGACCGGGCCGACTTGCCCTTGCGCATCTTCTTCAGCTGTTCCCCAGAGCTCGGGAGCAGGTCAAGCCCAGTCAAGAAGGAGGCCTTCGAGTCTCCGGATTCCTTCCCGGTGGCCTTTCTGTACGCGGACAGCTGCCAGGCTGGGCTCGAGCCACTGCTGCTGGCACCCTTCTTGATGATTAGGATGAGGGGGCTCTTTGCAGGAGGGTCCTTGAGTCCCCTGGCTATGCAGCTGGCATTGACAACCTTGGACTCGGCTGGGGTGCTCGACTCTTGGCAAACGGCAAGATCACTGGTCCCCATGTCTTCAAAGTCGGGCACAACAATGGGATAGGCCACATCCGAGCCTTCACGCACGAGCTGGGGAGTCCAAGAGTGCTGGGTGGTACTACTTCCATTTAGAGCTTCCAACTCGAGAAATGTTCTCTTTACTTCAGACTCATTTGAAATGTCTATCCACTCGGAGAGGCCCTTATTCGCTATGTCCTCCATAGAGAGTGGTTCGAGGATGCTTTCACCAAAGTACTTGACCAAATAGTTGAGATCTTTAATTAGCAAATCATCCAGGTTTATGAAGTCCACCTTGAGGCCTGAGGGCACCTGAAGACAGCCGACGTCCCATGGTAGAACTTCTGTCACAACCGGAGAAATTCCCTCCACGTCACTGTCTCTAAAACTAGACTGCTTCGTCACAGGCTGCTTTGTAACGGATTGCTTTGTCACAGACTGCTTCGCCACGAACTGCTTCGTCGTACACTGCTTCATCGAAGACTGCTCCGTCACACCCGAATCACGATTGGCATCGGTCGGGCTCTCCGTTAAATCTATGAGTATTACCCTTGAATTTTTAGCAGACTCCCCTTCCGTGTTTTCGGCGACGGGCTTTGGTGCAGTTGTCTTTGAAGGTCCCAGGATCCTGGCGTCCGGTTGTGGCACCACCTTATTGGCGGGTGTGACTGTGTCAGTGCCGACGCCACCAGACAGTCTCGACTGTTCGAGGGAGATGGTCGAACCCTGAATGGCGGCCTTTAAAATAGAGCAGTCTTTAACAACCTCTTTGGGTAGTATTGGTCTCGGCAGTGGCCTGGGCCTAACTTGGGGAAGAACAACGGCCAAATTTTTTTTGTTAGCATGCGCTTCACTCGCAGCTACGACGGCATTGTCCGGAAGCCTAAGCTTGGTGATGTGGATACTTCGAGTTTCCGGTTTAGTGCCGGCACTTGGCAAGACATTTGGGCTAGCAGAGATGGCGGTTACGACCGGCGACACCGATGGTCTATTCAGCTGCACTGCAGAACTTACTGGCGGCGCTGCACTTCCTTCTTTACCCTTTGACTGCAGATTGTATGGTACAAATGTCCCGCTAGATGTAACCTTGTACGTATTTGCAGCTGTATCTCTACCTCCCTCCATGGCCTTAAAAGCTAAAGGTGCCGTCCGCTGTTTGGGTGGAGCTTCGAGTGAACGTACGGTCACAGTTCCACCCGAAGTTTTCAGTACTCTCACTTCGGAGCCAGGGCCCAGCTGTATTGGAAGTGCATTTCCATCGCTGTTATGGCTTAGGCTATGAGGAGCGCCACCAGTCTTTACGGTTTTTACGGGGGCAATGCCAGTCGCTGGGTGCATGCCAGCCGAAGCACTCAGTCGACGGCGAAGGAGGGAGCCCGTGAACAGAGGAAACCGGCGGTGTATATCGGTTCTTGCGTCCAACGAGGGTTGTGCAGCAGGTTCGGGGAGATCCCTTGGGACGGACACCACCGGCGCGGACACTTTTGAGAATGAGGAAGTGCTGTTGGGTGTCACGGCATGGAACTGGGCTTGTGTCATGCTTGGTGAAGCTGCGGAAAACGAAATTAATGGATACTTTTAGGTGCGCAATTCCTTTTGAAATTGCGAGCTCGTGAAGTTGTAGATCTTTAATTTCAAGCTAAAAGTGATGCCTAGCATGTTGACAATGCCTTACAAAATGTGGTTACTGTCTACTAACATGACAGTTTCAAACTGGCATGCCTGCAAAAAAAAAAAAAATTGGAAAAAAGATTAGAATTATTGTTTCTTTCTTTACTGAGATGCTCTTGCATATCTCCAAACCACATTTGTATTATCCATACTCCATTTCACTTTATGTCTGACCGCAGTGGACACTATAAGCTGTCCCCGCCAATCCACGTGAACGCAGCACATGCTATGCTCTCCGCGTATCAGGTAACACTCACACGGCCCTAGACTGGCTTCGATGGCTCGTAGCATCCACTACGGCCATGCGTAAGGTGGGACGGAGTATAGGACAACTCCTTTCATGAGAACTGGTGAAGGCGAGTGGGTTGAACATGAATACATAAAACTGAAAGAATAAAACACAGAGGAAGTGAAAGAAAGTGGTTGTCCTGTGCTTGTCCTCTGTGTTTTATTCTTTTAATTTTATGTTTTCATCAGAAGAAACCTGATTTAGGCGCAACTTTTTTAAATGTCGGCTTGTGTAGCCTATTAATCCGTGGAATGTAATAATAACCCAAATTCGGCAGTTGAGAGCCGCAGTAGTTAGCAGTTTTTCCTTGGCTTGCCCACCATGAATTAGTCTGTCTCAAGTCACAATGACAAATTTTGATGGGAAAATATAGCCAATGTATATTTTCCTCTCTTTCTATATCAAGATACATCAAGATACATAATTCTTTCTATATGAAGATACTTGTTCTACCCTAAGAAATAAGTTGTTTCTTCAGTTTATGTTCTCCTAAAGTCATATTTTAGGAAGAAACAAAAAGATCTAGACAACAAAGCACACAGCTTCATACTGCCATTAAACCGATGTCAAACAGAGTCTAACAATATTTTCTTTGCTGAGCAAGGGGCAAGAAATACGATGCTGTTTCTATGCAGCACTTCAGCATAACCTGGCCTGCAAATGGCAGAAGGCTTCTACCAATTGCCAGGCTAGGCTGAAGCTACGGCTTCCGTGAGACAATTACAGCACAGGAGTAGGGCACAAAGTAAAACCCAACTGTGAAGTGAAGAACTGTCAGATCAAAGGGAAGGCTTTTCAGCCCCCCCCCCCCCCCCCCCCCCGCTCCCCTTCCCTTCAAAACACAAACCTGCATTTGGACCCCCCCTTCCCCCTCTATTTCTCCCCCGAAAATAATTCCTGGATACGCCACTGTCACATGCCCCACTTCAACAGTCACCCCAAGCAAAGCACAGCCCGAGCAGTGCTTTGCTCGGGCTGTGGCTTCTACGGTTTGGAGAAAACAGCCTGAATTTGGGGAAGAAACAGAGAAAACGGGAGAGATGAGGTGTCTCGTCTCTCCTGTCTTCCTGTAGGGAAGAAACATAGAGAGAAAACAGGAGAGGACAGCCGTCTCATCTCATCTATCCTGTTTTTCTCCATACATTTGTTTTTCTCTACGTCTCTTCCCTAAGTTCAGGATGTTTTTCCAAGTATGTACCAACATGCTCAACTCATCATCGTTTCTACAGTTTGTTGGCTTCTGATGATAAAGAACTAAGTTCAACAAGTTGGTTGCGTGCATCATGACACAGAATCACAGACTGATGAAGAACACTTTCAGTCCCATCACAAGGCTCCACAATTTCAAGGTTTTAACAGGACTGAAGGTGTGATTGCAAGAGCAACAAAAGTGGCATGAACTGTCAGCCGATTGCTTCACCGAATTTTTGTTGACTGTAGTGTGCGTCAGTTCATGTTCTGTTAGGAGGCAAGAAGATCATGGCACCACTTTCTCCTGATGATGAAAGCATGTTGGAAAACATCTATCAATTGACATGCAAGTTTGCAGCTTGCGTCAAATACCCAGTTATCAGTTTAAAAAACAATATATAGTATACAATGCTTCCAATGTTCAAAAGGAGCAGTGTGTTCTGAAAATGAACAGTGTATGGCTTGTCATTAAAATTATTATGAATCCACCACCTCTGGGAAGTAATAAAAACAACACACGGCATGCTTTAAAAGTTTGCTATACCAACCCCAAGTCCTGCAAACACTTGAATGAAGGTTCAATATAAGTGTAAAAATAAGGAATGTTAACTTCTAAAATTTTTGTTCTAAGGTGGTTCTGCACAAGGAAAAACACAAACCTTCCTCACTCGATCTGCAGGATCGCAATTATCAATATTACTTTACAATTTTATGTGTGCATGGTCAGTGTCAAAAGAAAATCTGAGAGGGACCATAATGGCAAAAAGCAATTTCCACAAGCCTTCCCAAACCTTACCCGAATGTACGACGCTGTGTCTGCGATTCTCCCTTTTGTTTCAGTTGTTGGCTCGCATGTTTGTTAAAATAATTAGTTAGTCTTTCCATAGTTTCCATATGTATGATAGCTAACAATCTTGTGTAACTTCAGTGGTGGTGGCTTGATGATACCGTCCTTGTGTGCAAAGGGCTGTATTGCTCAATGAGCTCGCACACCTTGAGCATTGGGCAGAAGTATCTGTGCGCTTAAAGTGGCATGCAATGGTTGCCAAAAGTCCATTTTCAATGTCAGGGACACTGGCGTTCGGAGGTTGTTTTGTCTCATTCAGTATTATTTGGTAGCAAATAGGTGTCACATTCAGGTTCACGGGATAAAAATATGCAAGGATTCATCTCTAGCTTGTTTCTTTGAAAATAACCTCTTCAGACTCACTTAAATGGACAATAGAAAATACGACAATCAGAAGAAGCCATGGTACTGACCTGTTGCAATGTTAAGTCTTATTTTGCTGGGCACATCTCCACTCATCTTTACCTGAAAACACACACACACAAAAAAGGATTATTGTGCGTTTTTTGTAATATCAAAAAAATTTTTGATAGAAGCTTATTTATGGGGAGGCACTCCCTTGCAGGGTCTACTTTTTAAGTATTTGTGCCAGGTCAATGAAATTTTTAGGGTATGTTAAACATCAAAACTTAGGAGGCTACGCCAACTTTCAACCCAAAAGGTTTATTTTCTGACAAGTTACAGCCTTATTCGTTGAAAAAAATGTACATGTAGCCGTGCCAAAGGAAAAAAACTATCGTTTCAAAATATGAATTAAAAGGCACAATTTCTTTGTTGGGATATAACGCTGAATGACTAAACTAATCGGTAGTAGGCTTGAAATAATTTTTAAGGCCATATTTCATGTGAAAATTAACTTTCATAATGGTATGAATTTTTAATTTTTTTCTGGTTTCACAAACGTCAACATTTTTGTGTGAAGAAATAACAATTTGCAAAAAGTAAGCACATAGCCGAGTTCTCCAGTAAATTTCATGCCAAAAAAGCCATACATTAGACTTGGGGGCGCTTAACTCATCGAACGATAGTTTTAGAGCTGTGAAAAAATAGTGAAAACATGAAGCTGAGAAAAACGGGTTTGAAAGTTCAAACAGTGTTTTAGTTAAGATGGGGCTTGCCATTTTATCTAAAATGCTCCAGGGGCATATGTCACTCCTTCCTCTGCACGGTCCCTCTGTGCCTTGGCCACAGCTTCCATCTTCCTTTTTTTGTGGGACATCTTGGAGGACTCGAGCGCTTTCACTTGGGCCTTCGCAACCTTCATCTTGGTGGCCCTCTCTCCGTATGACGCTTGGTAGCTCCCTGGCTGTATGCCTATTTCCAACAGAGCTTCCTAAATCGCTAGGACAAGCCACGTCACGTGGCTCGTCCTAGCGAATCAGAGCTCTTGTTTCGCCAGCTTGAGCAATAAGAGCGTGCACAGCTATGTTTTCGACGGGGGTTTACGGCCTGTGAGCGCGATATTGCAAACAATGCTGCGAACAGAACGAAAGAGGGCGAGACGCTCATTCCAACGAGGGGGGCCTGTCCATGCTAGTCCTAAGAAACGCGGAGGGAGCGCGCTTTGAAAATGGCACATTTTCGTAATCGGCCGCGTCATCGGCGTGCAAGTGCGGCCGCCAGCACGTCGAAAATAATTTATTTCGGAGTAAATACTTTACTTACAGGAATAAAATTTTTGGACAGCATTTTTTATGAGTTGTAAAAGCTGGTCAGCCTATTTTCCAAATATGTGACTTTTTTGAAAAAATCGCGATTCCTAGGCCGTGTCTCCCCTTATGCAAGTGAGTCAACCAAAACTGGACACTCTATGAATTAGGTAGGAGGCACACAAAAAGTTTTGAGGGTTTGATCACATGTGCAACCAAGCTCCGTCCCAGTGGACAGCATTTTCTTTAGTGGTTAAAGATGCACTGAAATGGTTTCTGAGGTTGTTGTTTTCTGGTGGTAACGCGATCTATGCGTTGAAAGCATCCCAAAAATAAAAAAACTTAGTCGTGAGTGTCCTATTCCGTTAAAAAAATGTTAAAAAATCGCAGACACGCTTTTTCTCAGAGCAAATTCTCTGAGTAACGCAAACAGATCAGCAGAGCGGTTCTGGATCCGAAGTAGCCCCAAGTTGCCGCTGCCTCAGACGAACTATGTTTCAGCAGCTGTTTGCGCATGCACGTGATGGACATTCACATGATGACGCCATTAGAATTAGAAACGCTTTGCCGGACAAGACCGTTTATACTCCAACGTTCACGAAAGCAATGCGAGCCAGCGCAAAACAACGTGGCAACCGTCTGGTCTAGCGTAGCATATTTCCGTTTCCTGGTCGGTACAAATCATGCGATCAGTGTGTGGTTCGTCCATGCCGTGTGGTCATGCTTCGAAGCAGCGATCTGGGGCAGTGGTTAGCAGTTTGAAAACAAAAAAATTATGGGGCTAACGAGAGCACATAAGCATTTATTTTCTCCGAAATCTCACACAAATATTGAAGGGAAGACACAAAGTCCCAATAGTGTCTGTCGAAGCCACAACTTCGACGGAGTCGTCAAATCGACTCCGGTGAATCCGCCAGGATACTTTGATAGAAGCGATGCACTCAATATTCCACAGCGTCCTCTTTCTGACAGATGGCCAGTGTGATATAATTAATTGCTATCCTTTCACATTGACTCAAGAAACTACTGCAGAAGACAGCGCATGATACAAACAATACAGGATTCAGACCCATTTTCATAGCCTACCACTACTATTGTTTAGAAACTAAGACACCCCAGCTGAAAATTTCTGGCCGGCTAAATAGCAGATGTTTCACCAAGTTGGCCGTTCCTGTAGATTCGACGCTGCTTGTTGTTTCAATCGGGAACGGTTTTCGATGCATCTTTGAGTTTCCAGCTTTTGCCGGCACAATGTGCATGTGAGTCCGGCGCGTTAGGCCTACGAAATGTTTCGGGGGGAGTGCATTTTCGGAGCAGTCCACCCAGTCAATCGCATGAACGATAAATATGCGCACCAATTAGGAACACAATAACAGTACATGACACACGGCAAGAATGGAGGTTCAGATCACAGAAATCAGTGCCTCAACACGCTCCGAATGGACCCGACATCCAAATTCTTGAATGGGGTGCTCACGCGAGGGTTTCTGGGAAAGCCACCGTGGTTACTGTTGTTTACTCAGGAAGTTGTCTACTGTAACGAGAAATCAATTCATTTATTACGGTCGATGGACTTCTATGCCCTGTTTTGGGTCTGCCGGAGCTTTTTTTTTAAATTTTATCCGTCATGTATATTTTTTGTATCCGGTGTGAGGTTTGCTTTTCAGTCGTGAGCTACGCCGATTCACGCTGGGCTACACAGCGGCAAGTCGCGTTGTGCATAATGCTGGAGTAAAGACTCCCGTCCCTTTCGCAGCCAGCATCGGCCAACGCAATCGGGCACGTGCGCTCGACATTATGACGCACGGTCCCGACGAACCTTCATGACCCGCTGCAGCTAGGTGGCGTAAGCTACCACCCGTTATAAAAAAATATGATCGACATACATGGATTCATCCATTTATCCGACGGAGTCGGGTGGACATATCACTCTGGGTCCAGCGAAAAGAGAGGAAAAATATGTAGTTTGCTGATTTCAAAGTGAAATTTCAGTATTACTTCTTTTGCACCATTAACATTTTTCAACTTTGTCAAAATGCAATGCGCAACACACTGAAGACTAGGTATAATAATAACAATCGTAATTTACATTGGTCCAGAAAAAAAAAGAATGAAAATAGAACGCAAGGGAAAAGTGTGTATATGTTTTCTAATGTTGTGAGAACAGTAGGCAGTATCGTAATTCTATAACTAGATATAGATGTTAACTGACACCTATTACACAAGATAATACCAAAAAAACAATCTTTTTAAAAAAGCACTTTTGTGCACCTTTAAATAACACGTCGGCCATGACTTGTTTGTTCATTGCAGCGCCTCTGATAGTTGTTATAGCGACTACCAAGGTGAGAATGTTAAGGAAGAGCTTCACATGTCCTGCCTCTATTGCGAGCTTTCTACTTCCGACAATGATTCGGCATCCTGTCACCTCGAGCAAGCGCGTTTGCCGCCAAAGCAGGGCGGAAGTCAGGGAGCCAATGCTGGAGGTGCGATGTTCAAAAGACACGCCTAGCCATTCTCACTCTGTAAGCGACTATACTCAACAATAATATTGTGTCCTTTGAGGTATTTTCTCCTCTCTGGGAGGCCGAGTCCTCGTCTGTAAAGAGCCAATGGACTCCCAACAGCCTTAGAAAAAGTAAGGCAGCTATTGCTACAACTAGCCGACGACGCTGCAGCACATGAGAGCTGCAGACGCACCCGGAGCAATCCTCTAATCAGAGTTCGGCGTCTTACGTCATTGCAACTCGCTGCACAAGGAACCACAAACTTGCTCACATTATTTAAGGAAATCTTCATATCTAAGGAAGATAAGTGAAGGAACTATAAAACAATTCCAGTCTGGAAACAAAAATAAAAACTTGTTAACTTTTAATAAGTATGGACTAGAATTATTCGTAATAATTAAGGAACTCACTCATTTTTATCTCGACATGCTAGTGGATGTAGAAAACATTAAATGAATCAAGCAGCATTAACCACCTCAGTCAGGTCCAGAACAAGTAGCTTTCAATAAATACTGCCCAGAATTAATATTTGATATTTATCATATTTAAGGCACTCATTCATGTTTTCGAAAACATAAAATAAATGGAGCAGCATGAACTTCCCGAGCTCAATCTAGCAGCATGTGCATCAGAACCTCATGACTGAATTACCAATGTTTGGAGTGCTTGCTGTCGTTACAATTTAGTGATTTCCGTCACTGCACATAGTGATCCTGGACCCAAACATTCGTTGACACGCTGAATGCACCCGTGCTAAAGCTGAGTTGCAATGCAGTCTATCCAGTCCACGAGCTTCAATCAGCAACAGCGCTTTTGACGACACCGTTAAAAGCACAGGCTTAGATGGGTTTGAAAATAGCCCCCTGCAAACTAGATACAAACCTTCTGTGTTTCTAAGTGGTACCCCACAAAGGGGAAAACCCACAACGTCGGGAATGGGTTTGCATTTTAAGGCCGTAGGAACATGATCATGTATTCCAAACCCTTTTAAAAGATAGAATATGCATACTTGCTTTCAGATAATTACCAAATAAATAAAGAAATGCCCGAAGCATTTTATGCGCGCCTGTGTTAGCCAGCCATTCGTGACGAGCTTAGAACAGGTAGTTTTGGCCAGAGGGGCCACAATGTTGCAAATAAAACGGCAAAAAAAAAAAAAGTATGGTATATTAAAATATGCATTTTTGGTAGAGCAATAAACAAAACCCCTAAACACGCCGATTATGGTAATAGGCAGTTTTAGCACAGCGTTACCGCAGGATATACCGTTGTCTACCGTGAGCAAGGCAACACTCCTGGCACGCGCTGAAAATTGTGCTTCAAAGGCGCAGCGCGAGCCTCCGGTTGTAATGCTTAACCGCACGGTAGCCTGCGGTAACAAGCTTCCTATCAATAACCATAGAGCAGTTTGGTAACGTGTTGCAATACACTAAAACCGAGACGATGAGCAGTGAGTTGCGAGCCTGTGACACGAAGGCATCGATACTGTGAACGCTGCTCTTCCGAAGCTGACGGTCACCGTGCGCGGCTCACTTTTGACAGCACTAAAGGCCAGGCAAGGCGCAAACACGATATCTTCATCACCCTCAAAAATATTCTACCACAAACAGTGACGTGGCCGTTGCACAACGCACTCACCCACCACAAAGCTTTGCAAGCCGAGGTTTCTGCAACTTTTCAATATCAGCATGGTCATTTTGCTAATCCGCATGAACATCTCAGTCGCCTGTTATATGATCCTGACCTAACCACTTCGCGTTTGCAAACAAATCATTTTTAGCGCACTGACCAGCGTCAGCGAGCAGGCGCAAGGGAAACCCTGGAAAATCTATCCCCGTCTCTTCCGCCATCTTGGAACTACCGCCCCGCTATGGTGGCTAGAAGGGGAGGTGGAAGCATTGGCTGCTGCGGAGTGTAGCGGCGGATCATGCTAGCAGCGGTGGCGCTGCTGTCGACACTTAGATGGGTCGGCTTGCCGGGCGACCGCCCGCGAACGCGCTGCAAGGCCGGCGGTTCGGACTTTGTTGGTGGCATTTCATACGCACAAGAAGCACATTTGGTATTTGTGGGACATTTGTTTGTTACATTGATAGCAAAGTGCTATTTGTGAATGAGTACACACAAAACAAAAATAACGCTGAGGACATGCAAGCGTACAGTGCATCAAGCATGATCGGTTTTCCTCGCGCGCCCACACTGCCTAAAGGTAAAGCATTTTTTTTTACGCCGTATATGCGCCCATTTTCACGAGAATCATGTCATGTCTGAAACTCAGTGTTTGTTTTGGCACGTGCATTCGGCATGGCGGCGTGGCGCGCGACGTTATACTTCGTGCACGCGCGCGAATGAAGTGCAAAGCAAGGCACGCGCCAGTAGCTCTGTCGGCTTAGACAGCGTTGCACACTATATGTGAAGTAAGAAAAGAAGAAAAAAAAGAGAGACTCGCAATGTTCAAGGATAAGAGAAATAATAAGACAAACCATTACATAAACACCAAGAAAATGATTAGATAAACAATGACAGCAAATATGAGAGACAGCACGCTCACGCGAAATACGGATTCACCTCTTGAACAAGAGTCACTTTCTCTTTTTTTTTTTAATAGTTGCTAATATATTAACACGTGAACATACAGTCAGTTGATGCTCATTTTCTGAAAAGCTAGCCTCTCATATTGCTGATAAGGTGTGCCAACATACCTACTAAGGGACATAGTATATAATTTGAGAGTCACTGCTTGATGAGACGGAACAGCTGTGATCGTCAAAGATATCGCATGACACGAGTAGTTCGAGTAGTTCGTGCACTTCATTCAGACATCCAATGTCCATGAGCTCATCAAGCTTCTTCTGACTTTATTTTGGGTTCTTACTGGTTCCATTTAGTAGGCTTTTTATCACTGCGGGCGAGACATTCCCATTTGCAGGGGGCTTTGCTAAACTGCAAAAAGCAAGACAGTTTGCTGAAAGCAAGACCTGTGTTGGAGTTGGATGATCATTACTCCCAGACATTTGCCTTTGACGTTGCTGTGTGAGCCAAAAACTCCCAGGATCTGCTGGAAATCCCCTGAGAACGGTTGGAATAATACAACCAGACCATGGTCACATGTCTCCGTGCTTTGATCCACAGAAGTGTATGCACCCAGGTGAACAAAGCCCCTGATAAACCCACTGCTCGTCACTTTGAGGTTTTCCGAAAGCTTCATCTTATCTATCAAGAGGCCTCCGCGCCTCTGAAACGCGTCCATGGTTTTGGTCTTTTCCGCAATTGCGGCGAACACGTCGTCATTACACCTAAAACTGCTTTTGTAGTTTTTGACATAGTTCCGCAAGCAGCTCTTGCTGGGAGCACCATTATTTTGTGCTTACGGATGTGCTCGTATAACTTGGGGCTTTTGATTCTCGTCAATATGCACTCCAACACCCACTCCTGGCTGTACCCCATTCCTTGCGTTCCTTTTCTTTTTGATGCTTGAAAGAAGGTTTCAACTTGTTGCCGCTGCTTTTGTGGCAGCCCGGAGAGACTTGCTTTGAGGTTCGACGCAGAAATACAAGAATTTTCTTCCTTCATTCTTTCAAGCGTTGTCTTCGTGTTACCGACCTTCGCCTTTTCACGACGCAACTACCTGGCACACTTCATCAGCTTTTTTGAAGCGCTGAGAGCAGGAGTCAAGCTTGCTTTCTTTCTTTCTTTTGTAGGACGCTCGGTTCACGAGAAGCTTCCTAAAATATCTGCATTGAATACATGGCCTTTGGTCTTGGGATACTCCAGGACAGCTGGTCCTGTGCACTTTGCTCCCATGCACTCTGTGCTTTGTCAGACCTGAGCTCTGACGTTGCGCTTCTGGAACGGAACTTTCCTCAAACGCGGAGCATGCAATCATTTGGTCGATTGAATGGAGTACACTTTTTACAGACTGGGCGTTAAATACGTCTAATGTCTCAAGTGAAACGCCTTGCACAAACACGGAGCAGTGATAATGTACATCATCCGCCGAACAGAGCACCAGCTTTTTAAAGCATACACTGTCAGCCGCTTGAGCACAGACACTAAATGCGATGGCCTTCGGTGCTTCTGCGAGCAGGTGTCTTGACCAATAACCACTGGGAAGCTTCTCGTCTTTTAGGTAATCTAGTTTTTCCAGCGTGCAGGCGCTGGAAGTCGCTGCGCCGTCCGCCGTGAAGCTGGAGCCGTCGTCGTCACACGAAGCAGCTTCACATGTCGGGCCGTCACTCGCCTTTCTCCTTTTCCCAGCAACTTCCCCACTTGAGGTTCTCGACTGCCGCTTTTTGGGCAGCTTCTTCGACAGATATTCCGGGACGTTCGGAAACAGCGTCGGTATTGCGTCCTCGCTGAGGCAAGGCCGCCGCGAGGAATCTTGACGACTTCTTTATTTACGACGTGGGTGTAGTGTCGCACGACGAATCTGGGTTCGAAGTGTAACTCACAGACCACCGATGTTTTCTCCAGAGGCTTGTCTGCACGCGGAATGGCTCGCTGCCATGCTCGTAGCCGTTCCTCGTCGTCTGGTACGGCGAAAACCGAAGCCTTGCTGCCCTTCTTCCTGGCGGAAACGTACCCCGTCGTGCAACCGGGAGCAAAGCAGTGTGTTTGACGCTTGGGAGGTTAGTCCATTCTCACTTGAGTTGTGAGGACGCATGAAAGTGACTTTGGACTTGCTCTGGACGAAATAGGCACGACAAATGCAGTTCAGAATCGCAACAAGTCGCAGCGTTGCCGCTCGAAACAAATGTAAGAAGCTACGCGCGCGCCACCTATCGTTAGCATGAATAACTGATACACGCCCCGCCGTTTGCTGCCCGCCGTGAAGCTCCCACCTCCCTTTCTAGCCACGATAGCCCCGCCACCTATAGGGTGTTGGAGTTGCGAATAGCAGCTGCACTCCTGGAAACGACCAGCGTTTTCAAGACTTAATGTGTTTGAGATGAGAACTCGAACATATCTGCTAACAGGAATACCAGGGCTCACCTCTGTCTGGTCAACAAACCCAAAAGGAGATTTCTCGTAACGCCATGCTCACGAAGCGTGCCATGTACCCAGATGTTCTTGAATGCAATCTGCAAACAATGTACCAGAGAGGTGCCGAATTAGGGTATAAAAGAACACTATTACAAGATCCCAAACTCTGTGCTTCTGGGAAGCAACAAAGTCGCAACATAATACATGGTTAAAGTCAGCGAGCAACGTCAGGAAACTGTAGTGTAGAAGAATACAGGAGACAGGATAGACGCTGAACTCACAACTTAATATTTTATTCAGAAGAGAAGAAAGAAAATTACATATGACTAGGGTGAGTACTTTCCGGTGTTTATTTGTGAGAAAAATCGGCGGATGTTTTTCGGTGTTTATTTATTTTCGAAACACCGGTGTATTTCGGTGGAACGTCTCACAACGAGGCTAAAATCGGTGATTATCGGTGGAAAAATATGCGATTCATCACAAACAGAGAATTCCAATTTTATTCACATATTTCGTACACTTGTTCTCGAGGAAGCATCTATTTCTCACACTTGGTTATTATAGTAGATGCAAGCATACTTCGAGAGGCTTGCATCGGTCATGGCAGCACGTTCCTTGCGGTTCACAACCTGCAATTTTGAAAACGCTCGCTCCACATTTGCGCTGGACACAGGAAATCCTAAAATGTCCAGCGAGGCTTGGGACAGTAGTGGCCAGTCAGGTAAATGAAGGTTCCAAAATAACACTGGATCAACGGTGCTAGTCACAGCATACTGGCGGTAACAAAGAAACTCTGATTCTAGGTCACTCAGCTTGCGCTCGTCTCGGAGGACCAGTCGATAAATGCTCTCATAAGGCACGAATCCCTCTGGCAGCTCTACTTTTATGCACGGATTAACAATTTGCACGCGGAACCAGAACGACGATTCATCCATGAAATCTAAGTCATCAGAGATGTTTCGGGAAACAGTCCTAAACCACTTGCTTTGAATCATCTGATAGTAGGCAGAGAAGGAATCAACAAGCTTTAACCTTAGAGCCTCTTCAGTCATGTTCAAAAGTAGGTCAACACTGCCATAGCTTTCTGTTGGCATGCTATTCCATCTTTTCAACAAAGCTGCAAGTTTTACCCCGAGAAGAGAATACACCTCGTGCACCAAGGTTTTCTCGGACTCAAGAACCTTCATGATAGCGAGTAACGAACTCGATGTCTCGTGAATGAAAGTCATCTTAATGAGAAGTTCCTGTGAAGACTCGGGATCTGAGACAAGCACTCTGAGTTTCCTGCACTTCTCGCCAACTGCATCACTACTTTTCAGAAAGGACAAAATTGGGCGCCAGTAATGCAACACGTCAGCGAGTGCCTCGTAAAAAGAAAACCACCGTGAGGGGCTCACAGTGGAGAGGCACTTCGGCTCAAGATTTATGGAGTGACAAAGCACGTTGAACTTACGCCGTATCTCTCGCGAACTTTTCAGGAGGGCAGGGAAGTGGATGACAAAGTCCTGAACAACCCCGAACTCAACCAGTTTCATGCCTTCGTTGAGAGTGACGTTGAGAAGATGACAAGGGTCCTTAAAGTGCAGTGCTATAAAGTCAGGTTGAGAGAGCTGAAGGTCTCTGTGCAGCTTATGCATATACGATGCCGAGTCTGAGGAAAGGGCGCACTCATCGCGAAAACTCTTCCCAAGCTTCCCCAGAACTTCTTGAACGAGCACCCCAACGGCAACGGCGTTGCACTGCTGGAGCACTTGGAGATCTGCCATAAAAGTCTTTCGTTGGAGAAGCTCGAAATCAAAGAATGTTACGAGCACGGCAACCGCTGGTCGGCCACGGAGTTCTGGTGTCTCGTCGACTGTGAGAGAAATAGGACGATTCTTGCACTGTTCCTGAACCTTAGACAAATCCCTTGCGAATACGTCGGGTAAGTACTTGCGGTACATCATGGCAGCAGACGGCATTGTACGGGCTGCGGGGCACATATCTCGGAAGAGTTTTCCAAGGGGTCCATCAGTCTTCTTGAGAGAGATGCCAGCCTTGCAGAGAGCTCTGCAGAATTTGTGAGCCACGTCGTCGGCATCATCTTTCTTCCTTGAGACGCGTGTGATGCATTCCTCCAAAGAGCTTTGGTGGGGTACCTGAGCACTCCCGGCTGAAACGAGAAAAAATTACAAATTATGGAAACGTTTCAAGACACGATATGCTCTCATAAAAGTGAGACATTGCGGTAGTTTTTCTCATTGTAAACGAAATGAGAACACGGGAAAAAATTACTTACATGGATCAAGACGTGGTTTCTTGAGCTGGACGTGACGCTTGGATGTTATGTGCTCGGTGATCCTTGTAGCCCCTTTTCCATCTTTGAGGCTTACCGTGATTCTGCAGTACTTGCAGACCATGGACAAAGGGTCCGTACACGTGTCGAAATCTGGATACTCCTTAGCGTAGTCATCCGGAGCTTTCCGCTTGCGTCCCATCCTGGTGGCCTTCTACTCCGCGTGACGACGATGATTGAAGTGTTCGATGAAGGGAAGCAAGTCTCACGTTGGGATAACCCGCAGACGCGGGACGGACGCGCCTTCTCAAACACGACTGTAAATTTTTTTACAAAACGGTCCTTTTATGTACAGCGAAAAACCCCCAAGCCAACAGAACCCTTTTTCCGTTTCTCCAAAAGCCCGTTGAAACTAACCAGATAACAATGAACGCATTTCAGTTCTCAAAGGTCAGTAGCCCTGTACGACACGGATGTTGGCAGTGTCTTCCAGGAACCACAGCAACCTCTGAATACATGCTTGCACCGACATCACTTAGCCAGACACAATGGGGAAAGGGCACGTGAAAGCGTACCCTCCACTGCGTTAATTTTTCCACAAAAGGGGGCTATGAGAGACACAATGGGGGAAAGGCATGTGAGTGCTTAGCTTCGACTGCGTTAACTTGACGCTTTTGACCCCCACAAAGGAGGGCGGACTGACGCCACAGGATCCACGAGATAGATAACACGTTGGACAAACCTCTACGTGGAAAGGATTTCGCTAGGTCGGAAACATGCAACGACCGGTGTTTTTCGGTTTTAACCTGGGCGAAAATATCCAACCACCGGTGTTTTTCGGTTTTAACCGATTTTGTATTTTCGTCACCGACGGATGTTTATCGGTGTTTTTCGGTTAAAACCGGAAAATACACACCCTACATATGACCAAACATGCACATGCTCATGGCACGAGACGTATAGGGTGCAGGGCAATGGCTTTTGCACACCGAAGCGTTTAAAAACAAAACTTCCTTTTCAGATAGTCGCTGAAGGATGGCCGACCCAGTGCTCCCCAAGACCTTGTATCATATATGCCTCGTAAATTTCTCTGGCGAGTTTTTCTTACATCGACCTATGATAGCGGTGCTAAACAGATTTGGAGTACGAGTACAGGCTATCATATGTCGATATAAGGAAAAACTGTACAGAGAAATTTATGAGGCGTATATTATACAAGGTCTGGAGGAGCACTGCATCAGCCATCCTTCTGTTACTCTATCTGAAAAGGAAGTTTGTTTTTAAACACTTTGATGTCCAAAAGCCATTGCCCCGCGCCCTAGAGTTCTCGCGCCATTAGCACGTGCCTCTTCAGTTATATGTAATTTGCTTTCTTTTCCTCCGGGTGAAATATTGAGTTGCAAATTCAGCGTCTACCCTGTCTCCTGTATTCTTCTACAGTTTCCTCACGTTGCTCGCTGACTTTAACCATGTATAATGCTTACCAACTAGCACAGCTCACCAACCTTCTACAGTTCGGAACATAACCCGCCAATTCGAGCGCTCGTTCGTAAACGGAGTTATTGTTTAAAACGGGATGCACCTCACGCTCGTGGGTTGCAAGCTGCGCTCATCTTAATACGAAGCGGAGTACAGAGAGAGGCTTCCCACACATAGCTGTAAATATGAACTCTGTGTTGCGACGGTGCTCCACGTTGCGCGCCCTTCGTTGCGATCTTCAAGCACGAGCGCTCGTGCAGAGAAGCTGATTACCGCGTCCCGGAATGCACGCATTTGCGAACATTTGTACGCACTCGGAAAAAAAAAGCCGCTCATGAGATTCTGCTTTGTTGCGCGGCAATGTCGAACTTGCAAGGCGCTCATGACGGTGCCGGAGATTGGGGTTTTCCTCAGGAAAATGCCCGCGCTCGGTTCAATGCACGCACTTCTATGCCACGCATTCAGAGTGCTAAGCATACTTTTCATGCGCCTGGCGTATTCTCTAATCGACCTACTCGAATTTCGGTTCGCAATGCGGTCGAACAAATCGTTAGTGAGCAGTTTTGATTAGACGAACATTCCAGACCACTCGCGAATTTACAAGCACACGTTCCCCCGCCCCAATTTGCAAGAAGATGTCCCAATAACGAGTATCCAGTACATACAGTACACTGGAGGTCAGTAGAGCTTGTTAAATCGGTTGTTTTGGATAGGACCCAGACAATTAAAAATGCGGGCAACTCTACCTCGAGGCAAAGGACCTCATCACATCTGTAACAAGGAAAGGCCTAGTTATCCGCACCAAAATCTTGCGCTTCGAAAGAGAGTCCACTGGGAAGGCGGTTTAGTTCTGGCCATGTCAGCTGATCGAAACATGCGTAAACAATTAACTGTGTTAAAAATAAACTTACGCACTAAACAAGGTCACTGCTACTTGCAGGGCGCCTTGTCTCCGGTCGACGCCGCCAGCGGCTTGTCTTCCAAAGAATAGCTGAAGTGGTTGGATGAGACGTACCTAGATGGCGCCACGGGTACCATGCGACGCTTAATAGCTCGTATACGTTGCCCTCGGCACGACCGCCCTTGTAACCGAGGTAGCCGTGATTTACATAGCTTTTTCTTGTATAAGTAAATACTTCTTTTTATTTTATTTTTATTTTCGATATTAAACGCATGCTGATTTGATTCGTGCAGTTTAGCTAACAAGTGAACAGGCCAGCAACCCTCTACGGGACTACAGGTTTTACTTGAGCTAGTTGGTACGTACTTGAATATGGTCAGCTGAACAATTACAAATTAGAAAAAACCGTGAGAGGAAATACATACACACCGCTGTGTACGTATTTACATACACAGCGGTGTGTATGTAAATACACAATTACAAATTAGAAAAAACCGTGAGAGGAAATACATACTCAGCGGTGTGTATGTATTTCCTCCCACGGTTTTCTCTACGGGACGTCCCGTAGGAGGTGTTGAACTTGCTGCTACCGACATGTCGACGACACCGGCCCGATTTATTTGTACAATCTCATTTTCATTTGCATTATTATTATTTTAGTTTCCTGTTTTTGTGATTAATAGTTTTTATTAAGTTCGACTTCACCGGGCGTATTTTACCAGTGAGCTTTTTGTTTTTGCATTTGTTTTGTTTTATTGCTATATTTGTATTTGTTTATGGCCGTGGCGTGTGCTCAACCCCTTTTTCTACAGTTGTGTGCACCCTGCATACAGCTACTGTATTATTAGAGATAAAAATTCCCGTTATTAGGGTTAGGACGAGCTGCCTGGCGCAGCTCGGCTCCAACCCCCCCCCCCCCCCCTTTCCCCCCAAAGGAAAAAAACAACGTTATTAGTAATTTTTATA